ATATGGGATTTTTTTTTTCTGTGACTTATCAAGGACTATGCCAGGAAGCAAACAGTGTAAGCTCTACCACATCAGAGATTTCCTTTTTATATTCTCTGCAAACTAATTAAATGTTATTTGTATATCGTCTTCAGAAAATAATTTGTTTTACTGTTTTTGTTGTTATCGCTTTAATCCTGATCTTTCCCTCTCATTTCTTAACGGGGACCAATGTCTATTAGTTGCTATTAAATTTGTTTTCTTATCATTTGTCATATATATATATTAAATTATTTTTTTAAAGATAGCATGTCATAGTGCCGGCTTGAAGTTAGATTTATGTTATAATCCTGATTTTTGCCACTTTCCCATAATTTAAGCATGAGTAAGAACTTCATCTCTCTGAGCCAATGTTTCTAATGTGTAAAATGAATTTAATGTTAGCACTTTTCGCATCCTGCTGGAATAATGTAACATTCAATAAACGGTAGCCATCATTATTATTAAAATGTACTTTTATTTCACCATCAGTGAAACCTTTTTACCTAAAAGATAACCCAGTTCCTTACTAACTTATGTACAGGGTTTCCTTCACCCCATCCCCAGACCATTCCTCCTATAAAAAACCCTTGCCTTCAACCTGGAATTCTACTCTAAGAGTAAAATCAAGAAGACTTATCAACCAACAATAGACTTATTCTGAAAATATCACAAATCATCAGATTTGAGAATACTATAATAATATAGCACTGTAAATAGCTTTCTTTTCAGAGCTATTTTTCACAAGGAAGCAACTTTTTTTTCAAGTTGCTGTTGGTTTGGTATGGGTTTTTTGTTCTTGTTGGTTCGTTGGGGTTTTTGTTGTTGTTGTTGTTTGGAGGCTGGGTTGGTTGGCTGTTTAATCCCAAGAGTTATTCCCTTTGCCGTGATGATTACTAGCCAACAAATCCAAGTTGAGATAGGGATGCTGAGCAGTCAGCACAGTGATTTTCCCCGCACATCAGTCTCTCAGTTATTTATACCTTAGCAACTATTATAGCCATTTCAAATCACTGTAGGTCATTTTCGGTCACTATAATTCATTTGCAAATAATATTAATAAAAACAGCAAAATTTAAACCCTCAAGTGTCCAGGTCCTCCTAGTCCTTGTACTTCCCCGGTCATGACAGTCATCACTCTTCACTGTAATTAGCTTTTCATTTCCCTAATAAACTGTCATGACCAGGAAGGTTGGTAACTCCTACCCTTAATATAGCATAAATACTTAATAAATATGTATTTATTCAACAAATTAGTGCATAGCCAAATACATGTATACACTTTAACATATTCTTAGATCAATGTCATTTCTCTGTACCTAATGACATAATCATAAAGCCAACATATAAATTCTGTTTTCAAACAATTAGATAAGGTGTTTAAAGCATTGAATGATAGTTATTTGTCTTGAATACTAGACTATAACCTTATAAAGGCAAGGATTAATGGTTTTGCTCACCCTATATCTCAGGACTTAGAAAATCTAGAAAAGAGTAGGAACTTCATAAATATTTATTAAAGAAATTAATTCAGTCAATTCAGATATAAGTTAATTCAGAACTACATAGTACAAAAATATTAATAGTTCATTCAGATATAGTAAGAATATTCAAAAGACAATGGCCATGATATATGGAACACTCCAGGATTTATAGAATTAGAGCAGTCAAGCCACTGACACACTACTTAGAGAATTTTATTAATAGTTGGACAGCACTTCAGAGATAAAACAGCCAAACCTTTTGATTTTAAAACTGCGAAAGCTGAAACCCAGAAAAGTGAATTTTACTTTGCCAAATTGTTTGCCAGTTATTGCAGAGCCTGAGTCTATACACAGTTTTCATACTTCTTTCCAGTATACTAGACCCTCGCTGGAACAGGTAATAGAAGAAGTAATTGGCTGCAGAGGCTAAAGAATACGAAAAACCTAAACTTGGTGGCGCAAGAATCAGCATTCCCAACAAATGGCTGTGAACCAATCTCTGGACATATGTCAAGGGTTGTCCTTGTCCTAAAGGACTGAATATCCAGTTAGGATATGTTGGGGCCCGGGGTGGGGGTGCGGTGGCAGGGGGAGGGAAGAACATTTCTGAATGGCATCCGTCCCCACCCCACCTGCTGCAAGTCATGAGATGTTTTTGCTAGCATGCAATAAACGTTGTTGGCTGGTATCTTAGTGCTACCAAAAGAATTGAGCTCACTTCCCACTTCCCTCATTTTTTAAGGATGATTATTTCCAATTCCAATAATCATCATTTCTTTCTTGGTGAGTGATATTAATGGCTATTAATGTTGCTTATACCAAGACAGAATATAACGGAAAGCAAAGAATAAATCTATCTAATCCAGCTCATAAACAAGAGAAAAGGAAAGAGATTTGTAAATACAATTTAGTATTTAAGGTCCATGAGAGCAGGGACCAAGTCTATTTATGAATCCAGGGTGATCAGAGACCCAGGTCTCTGAATTGAATCTGAGGTCATTTCTAATTTTAAACAAAGCAGAGTAAATCTCCTTGCTCTCCCATCAGTCCCCCCAAATTAAATTATACTTCAAAGAACCAGCAGTGTACCCAAAGGAACTCCCCACTCCCTCCTATCTGGGATTTCCGGACAGGCGAAGGACACAATGGACCGCGGAACAGACTTGACTTAACAAGCTCTGCAATGAACACGTCCAGAGTAGGAGGGCTGCAGAAGGTATAAACTAGGGCGTTTCCACCGAGAACCCTCTTCAGAAAACTTCAGACAGGACAGACTGGAAGGAACAGTTCCCAGAGAGGGCTCTGGATAGTCCAGGCCCGCGTCTGCAGGTTGCCTGGCAACAGCCGCCTCAACACTGGGCCTCTAATTGCCCTCTCTTATTTCCAGAGGAAAAAAGGTTGTCAGACCCGGTCCCTTGCTCCTTTCATGCCACCTACCGCCCCCCAATCTCCGTCCCCAGTTCCTGGGCGTGGCCTGCACCCCGCCTGAGACCCCGCCGTGCTCGCAGACTTACTTGTTGGGAAATCCAAAGGGGTGCAGTTTTTGCGGCTGCAGCCAGAGGCACCGGGGGGACCGGCTCCGCGGGGCCCCTAAACCCCGGCGGGGAGCTGGAGCGGACTCACTCACCTGTGCTTTTCATGTGCGGGGAGAAGGCCAAAGCCCGGCCCGGATCCACGACGGTTGTTGTGTAATTCTTCGTATAGCTGAATTCTATTTACTATATTTCGTGAAGCATCTATCGTATGCCCAGCCCCCAGATTGATGTTTTGAGAGGGATAAAAATTTAAGCATGTATTTGTGCTAGGAGAGAATGCAGGAAAGGAGCCAGAGAGTTAGGCATGGTTAGATTATGTAATGCCTTGTGGACCA